CCCCAAAACCCCAAAACCCCAAAACCCCAAAACCCCAAAACCCCAAAACCCCAAAACCCCGAAAACGAGAGAATGTTTTGAAAGTATTTTAATTTATTCTTCATCATCAACTTTAGCCTTCTTACTCTTCTTCTTCTTCTTTTTCTTCTTCTCGTAGGTGGCTTTGGCTTCAACGTCTTGTTCCTCCATCTCGGAATGCTTTCTCTTTTTGCTCTTTTTAGACTTCTTCTCTTTCTTGTCTTTCTTGGACTTCTTCTTTGGAGCTTCCCCTCCTCGCTTTGATCAGCTTCTTCATTAGCAGTTTCTTCAGCTGTGGCATAGAGGCCGTCAGCCTCGAGCTCTTCGAGAACAGAAGCCATGACGTCTCTGTTGGTCTTTGGCTTGTCACCAGATGCGAAGAACCTGAGACGCTCCTCGACTTGCTCCTTGAGGGCTTCTCCCATCTTAGTGTTTGGAATGAGAGCAAATTGATCAAATCTGGCTGTGATAGCGAGTTTGTTTGCAATATAACGAGAGATCTTTCCTTTATTCTTGATTCCAGCTCTTGAAATAAAGGAACTGTTATAGATGATACCATACTTTGGAGTATTTCCTCCTGCTTGAGAGACCTAAACAGTGCCTTTTCAGCTCCCAAAATCTGGATGGTTGATGCTGAGTATTTAGCAAGGTTTACCAAAGATCCAGCCTGTGAGATCAACTTTGCTCCAACATTATCTCCAATGAGAGCAGACAGATTTGGAGCAACATTGAGCATTCTGTTGTGAAGGTATTCACCGAGGGATGTTCTGTAGTTGACCATCTCAACTATCCTAGAAGAGAACATTTTGATCTGGGCAGTGTCATTCTCAGATATGTCTTGCCCCATTGAAGCATTATTGGCCTCAATGATTTCCTTTGCTTTTTCTTCATCCAAAGTGATCTCTTCTAATTTAGGAAGTAAAGCTTCGTTAATGTTTTCTCTATTTCCGATGAGATGTACTAGCAAGGCATAAATGGAGTTATCGGTGACAATCTTAACAAGCTCTGGGAAGTGCCAAGAGAACCATTCCTTAAGCCTCATGGCAAAGGTGTTGATATTTTTATCCCTCTGTTCAATCAAAGCGATTACTTGGATAATTGGCTTATCCTGTCTGTTTACATCATGTTAGACTTTGTTCCTACTGAAAGCATGAGCAAGATCAAGCTGTGCTTGTTTGATGTCACTCTCGGTGATCTCTATGGGGAGGGTTAGCTTCTATAGTACTTACTCTTTGAGAATCTGTTGAAGTGGGTTCTAATTCCTCTGAAAATCTCTCTGATTGTTTCATTTGTTGAAGTAGTGTATCCTGTTTTCTCAGAAATTCTATAAAATTGTTTAAAAACACACTCAAATGAAGGAATGGAGTAGACTGTCTACTTACTGTGGGCCGATGATTTTGTCTGCAATACCCAACTGGAATTTCTGCTTCTTCTTCCTCTTGATTTTAGGTAAGTAGCTTTCCAAAAATTCTTGGAGTGTTTCGGTAACTTCTCCTTTTAAGACAGCAAAAATATTCTTTAATGCTTCTTCAGCGTTTTTAAATGGCTGATAGGCTTTCATTTGGAGTAGGGTAGCAAACCTCTCGTAATCGGCAATGGCTGCCTGAACTTGTTCTAATTCTCCACCAATCTCATCATATTCTTCTCTTTCGAAAAGAGCATATCCTGCTGCTGTTTCGTATAATAAAAAGAGTTGCATTTTTAATAATTTATATTATCAAAAATAAGGTCATTTTCGGGGTTTTGGGGTTTTGGGGTTTTGGGGTTTTGGGG